ATTGGATTGGCAGGACACTCCAGCAGTTGTTGTACGATGTATATCTCGAGAGCGACACCACTGGGTCAATGACCTTCCCCTGAACTCCCCTCCAAGGTCAGTGTGGAGGCGAGCGACGTGGTAACCCATCACTCTCAGCATCTGCTGGATGGTCGACAGCACCATTTTTTGATCCTTAGATGGCATTGGGATCGCAAGGCGGAACGTGACCAGGCGAGTCCTCCTCTCCTTCTTCACCATCTTCTCTTTCTCCAGCAGGAGCTTCCTCCTGCTCAACTGGATCATCGAGATCATCTTGATCTTCCACATTCGTTTCATCATCTTTTTCTTCTTGGAGCTGAATCTCCGAGAAGTCTTCATCTTCAGCGCTGACCAACTCTTCAGGGAGTTCATAGTCAGCTGGTATAGCAACCAGGTGTATGTGCCAACCATGATGAACTTCGCGACATCTTGTCCATCAGGAGCCACTGGATAAGGACCAGCCGTGTCCAATGACAAGGTGGCAGCCAAGGGATGTTTGACTTTCGACGCGGCTTTGACTTGGCACTTTGTTTCTGGCATACCCGGCAGTCTCTTCGAAAGGGTACATGGCCGTTCTGACAATGTTGATCCCATGTCATGGCCTTGATCTTCATCTTTTCTTCATCATTTTCATGTAGATGAAGCGCACACGCCTCAGAGATCGCCCGGCACAGTCCAGGTACCCACCTTGACAAAGAGGCGGATGGCAGTTTTTGACCTTCACTGCGACTTCGTGCTCCTGGATTTCTTCCTTTTGGTAAGCGGAGCGAGAAGTTGGCGGCCAAAGACGTGGGCTTGACAGGAACCTCATCCTTCCAAGGTTCATAGTCTCCTTGGTTCACTTGGTGAAGATCCAACTTGGCAGCAGCCTTCAATGACAGCCACTCTTTGGTGCGCCAAAAGGAGACACATTCCGGCTTGTAGTCGACCGGATCGGAGGGCTGCTCGAGCAAGAAGAGAACTTCATGGTTCCTCTCATTTGATCCTTCAGTGGCAGCGGCCTCTTGAAGTTTCCTGGACATCTCTGCGACCAGGTAGAGGAAGATTTGACGCCACATCATGATGTCATCTTCCAAACACATATTGAGCTCCTCTTTGGTGAGTTGGCTCGTACCCGGCGAAGAACTGAGCGAGACCGGCAATTTGGGCCTCCGACAACAGCAGCAAGATCGCCATCCAATGCCAGCCTCAGCATTCCTTTGTATGCCTTGGAGTCCATTGAAGCCATGTTGTGATCCTCCCCCCTTTTCAAATCCACCTCCAAAGTTCGAGAACCCAGGCCATACTCTTCCATAGCCTTGTGGAGCGTGAAGCCATTCTTTTCGCCTGCATAGAGATGCAGAATGATTGGACCTACGGCCTTCAATCTTTTTCTTTGATGCCGGTTTGCAGGCAAGTCTTTCCACTCCCCCGGCTGTTGGATCAGGGACTTCTTGATGGTCTCCGGCAACATAGGCAAGGTGGGGTGTCCTTCCACCAACGAGGACAACCCTTCCAACTCCCTCTTCGGGTGGGTTTCTTCAACAAGTCGAGCTTGCTTGACATCGACGACCCTTTCTTCATACTCCTTGATGAGCTCGAGGGCCAAAAAAGCCTTTGGAATTTGTGGACATCCAGCTTGGATGCTGATTGGAAGAGGACCCTTTGTAGGATGAGTCACCTTCATCACATTCTTTTTCCATGAGATGTTGCAACCACCACCCGCCAGGATGCCGAGGAGAACAATTGGCTCCACAGCCAAATTGGTGGAGACCATCACTCCAGCTTCCGTCATCAACAATGGCGTGGCGCGGCCATCAGCCAACGAGACTGACACCTTTTTCAGGCTGTCCATGCAGTCGGTCAGGACGAGAGGCCTGAGAGGATGAGTCGCTCCCGAGTCGAGCAAACTCCATTCTTCTTCTTTCGTTGACCCCATTTTCGCTTCCCGGACCCTTGTGAGCTTCAGGGTTTTGATGCTTCTTTTAATCTCATCCAGCTGTTGGTGAAGCTTGTTCATCTTTGCCTCGATGTTTCTTTGTCTTTCATCATCCGGAGCATCTTGTCTGCTTCTTCCAACAGCTCATCCATCTTTTCGACTTCTGTTCCTCCTGCACTCTTTTCATCCTCCTCCTTTCTTCCCTTCTCATCCTCCTTTTCCTTCTTCACCTTAGGTGGGGGCGTAGAAGATGTAGGATTCGCCGGATCCTTGGTCGGGCAACTCGGAGCGAGATGCTTGGTGGAGCCGCAGGAGTAGCGTCTGCGTTGATCATCTTTGAGGTCATGTGACCATCTACAGTCCTTTCCGCGGCGACATCCCGAGTCGGTGAGGAAGAACTTTGAGGGCTGCTTGACCTCCAATTCTTTTCAACATTCTTTCCTTTTTTCACCATACCTTCATCCAACTTCTTCATCTTGGCGTCCTCCTTCTTTCCTCCACCTGCTCCTGCACTGCTCTTTTCGGCGAGGGCAAGCTGGTCAATCTCAGCGATGAGATGGGTGGCAAACTGGGAGACCGAGATCGGCGTTGGATTGGTGTCAACTTGTAGTGAGTTCTGGCCAACGAAACCCGAAACCGAAGTGCTTCGTTGGCTTCATGGAGGTTGCTCTGCTGCTCATTCGGCTCCTCAAGGTTCCTCAACAACATTTGTTTTTCACTCACACCTCCAGGGCAATAGGACAGATGGAGATGTGCCAAGATGGCGACCACCGACAGGCGTTTTGTAGCGACCAGTTCATCACGCTGAGCTTCTGGGATCGCTTTGAGCAGCAAAGTAGCCATCCTCCTTTCCAACTTCGTCCACTTCGGGATATTCAAAGAAGTTGGGGCGACGGGTTCATGCTGAACACGATCCAGTGGTGGCATGGCCTGATGATCTTGGTACCAACGCTCCACTTCAACCATCATCTTTTCCCACCACAAACCCGACGTTGCAGTGAGGTCGGCAACAACCGGTTGTACAAGTAGAAGCCAATCCCCAAGCTGGAGTTGTGAGGTGTTGCCTTGTATGCTCCCCAAGGCTGGGAGCTCTGCGACTTGTCGCACCACTTCAACACCTTTGATGGTGCCCTGCCTGTCATGCCCCTCAGAAATCTGACGTTGAAGGGCTTTCATACTTTCAACTAGCAATGCCATGACCTCCATTTGCTGGATCTCCGGCGAAGGCCTGGCTCCCCCCATTGTAGGCTTGTTGGTGGTCGATCTCGGATCCTCCTTGAACCCTTTTCCATACGAAGGGCTTCTTCCTTTTCGAGGTGGGTCTTTGGATTGAGATCTCGACCCCTTTCCATACCTAGCTGGGTAGGTAGACCATGGAGTGCGTCCCCTACTCCCCAAGACGCTGGGAGCTTCGGGCTTTGCTTCTTCGGGAGTGTTGAACGTCGATGAACTTCGAGGGACATGACATTCCTCCTTCTCCCTTTTATTTTTCTTTTCTTCCTCTTGCCTTTTTCTTTCTGCATCCTCCAACCTCCATTCATAGAGCTCCTGTTGAAGGCGATCATTTTCACGTTGTTGGTCCTGACATAGACTTGTCAGCTTCTTCATATCCTGCGAGATCTGCCAGCGCCACATGATCTCTTCTTCCTTTTCTTCTTGAAGGCGACTTCGGTGGCGGCCTCGAGGATCTTCTGAATCCTCATCCTCACATCGCCTGAGCTCTTCGCTTTCCTTCTCATCATAGCCTCCTTGAGCCCCTTTCTTTCCTCCTCTTCTTCCTTCAAACCTTTCTTCTTCTTCTTGAAGGAATGAAGGACGATGGAGGTGGCGCCTTTCCAAACACCTGACATGCGAGACGGGCGGCAGCTCTTAATCTGTTCCCTCGTGAACAGCGGCGGCATCGTCTGCGGCTGCGGCGGAACCAAGGGTGCAAGGGTCACCGGCCGACCTTTTGGTTGTTCAGTCAACTCTTTCATACTTTGCTTGGAACCACCACTACGAAACACTTCCATCTCCGTAGTCGGTCCCGTTGCCGAACCCGGTGGTCCTGTCGTGGACCTTGTGGGTGTCATCAAGCCCTTTTCATCTTTTTCCACCCCTTCTCTTTCCTTCACCTTTCCAGCCTCTTCTCCAGAGGCCCTTGCAGCATCCTCCTCTGGTTGGGGCAAAGCCAGCGAAGTTCCATGCTCCATCGATCGCCGGCGACGAAGCATGCACGAGCTCAGGTGTGGTGCAGAAGTAGCTTGTTTTGGGCTCATAACCTGTTGATGCCCTTCTGCGGACATGACCGAAAACACAAAGTCCCAAACCAAATGCGCAAAACAGATCCGATGCTCTGCAGACCTTTTTCAACGCTTCTCTGGTTGGGGTTTCCTCCTTCTGGGGAGGCTTCAAAGGCCATCAGGCCTCTCTCAACAAAAAGGGCTGCGTGATGCAGACATTTCATTCAAGTGCGTCCACAAATATATATATATATACTGGGCTCTGATGAGTAAGGATTTGTGCCTCTCATAAGTTTGGATGGTAGGCACAGGAACTGCTAACACATGTGTCTGCAGAGAGGTGGATGTACCAAAAAAATGTCCAGGAAAATATACATGTTTTAATATACCTGCGTTTCAGTCCAAAAAATGCTAATGATGCATCCGGCTGCGGGCAGCATCATTCAAACCGGGTCAACTCAAGATGGACCTTGTGCCTGCAACCAAATCTGACACTTGTCTTCTCATCTGGACCACAACTCCTAACTCATGTGGGCACTGGATCCACAAACCACAAAAACATGATCCTTTAGGAACTGTTCGAGCACGCTCAAATTCTGGTAATTTTCGCAACGTTTTGGGTGATGAGTAAGGAGTTGCAGCAAATTTGCGAAGCAGTCGGTGGCTGATGAGTAAGGATGCTAAAATTGGCATGCGCCTCCGTTAACTCCTGAGTCGCTCCAGGGTATGGATATATATATATATACTGTCATATATCTTCACAAGCACAGAATCTTACATCATATGCAGGTGTCTGTTTGTTGCAAGCCCTCCTACGCCGCTTTCTCCGGGACATCTGCCTGCCGAGCTGGCCTAAGTGTTCAGGCTATTCGTATGAAGACCGCGTAGTCACTGCAACACTGTATTGAATTGGTCTGGTGGCACTGCTTTGGCTCAGAGCCTGGCTGTTGTCATCGTTTCATTGCGTTCAAGGATTTTGCAGTCTTACGCAACTGAGCTGAATGTTGCACAGAGTGCCGCTGCCAAAGCAAAGCTGATAAGCATGCACCAAAAAAACTACAAACGACTGGCATCACAGCTCTTTCGAAAGCCCTGTTTTGAAACGGCTGGCAATGCAACTCCAAGGGACCTATCAAATCTACCTTGGGAAGCCTGCACAAGTGACGGTTCAAGACTCTGTGCAAAAAGTGAGATTGTAAGCCATCTGGACGGAACACGGGTAAAAAAGCTTCTGTGATCCTGCATTCCGTATCCGAGCTTAGGGACAGCCTCGAGTATCTAGACAACGCTCAACTCCAGCGTCGAGCTTGGGCAACCAGTCAGGAGCTTCACACTTGCAACTAGTCAGTATGTGATTTTTGCTTTTGCGGATTGGCTGCTCCAACACTTGTCAAGCCCTTTATGCGTGCTGCCACTGTCAGGATGTCACATCATGCATCCTGTTTTGTTACAGCGCCAGCCAATGCGGCTGTTCCCAACATACCTGCAGAACATCGCAGAACTAAAGAGGCATCAATTGTCACACAGAAACGCGGCATGAACTATGCAATGCCCGAAGACCTCCAGGAATGTCCGTGGCCCCTTGAAGGCCAAAGAAGAAAGAATTTGCCTGCCGAAACCCGATGCCACGGACTTTGCAGACTTGCAGTCATGTTCCCGTGTGATATTGTGAAGCTGTCAACACATCCAGTGAAATGGAACTAACCGGTAACAAGCCAGCAACCAAATCCCTGTAGCACTGTCAGACACATGTTTGCACTTGGCCAACGTGCTCGCCTTACCATCCTTGAGACAAGAGCCGGCTGTTTTAAGCTTCGCTAGAGCCACTGCTACCTCCAGGCAAACAAGACCCCCAGCAATCAGTCGGGTACCATGCTTGCTCCACTCGTCAATCATAAATTCTGCCGTCTGGTACAAAGTAGGCAAGCAAAAAACAGCTGAGTCAAGTCACGCATCCATGGTTCCCAAAAACCCTCTCACACCTCTGAGTCCTCAAGACGCTGTGCAGCCTGCAAAGGGAAAGTACGTCTTGGAGATCAAAGGCCAACAGCGCTTTGAAAAAAAACTATGTATATAATCCCTCCAACCATTGGCACTAAAAGGCTGGGGCCCAGTGCACTTCTTTTGGACAAGCGGTGGTGATGCCAGCAATGTGGTCAAGTCAGCAGACACACACTAGGGAAAAATAACACACACGGTCAGAAAACCACTTGCTCCACCGCCCTGGGTGCAGAAAAATCCTAAGTAAAACCAGGGTCACCAGCCGTGTCTTAAATGCGCCCAGGTGCACCACAAATTGCAGGTATGTTCACGGCTCTGACCATTGGCCTCTTCGTTGGCCATCCACCAATGGTGAAAGGCATGGCCCCCTGCTTTCGATCTAGATACCGAAAACAAATCTAAAACTGACAGGCTCCCTCAAAGGGTTACGCTCACATACCCTAAAGGGGATCCGTGCCGAAGAGAAGGGGTTTGGTCAAAACGAGGTGATCAGCAAAGGAAGCAAGGAAAGGACAGAAGAAATGGAAAAGGAGTGAAGGGGGCACCCCCAGCTGTGAGAAAAGGCATCTGGGGCGTACCCGAACGAGAATGAGGTAAGGAAAGGTGCTCTCACCTATGACCCAAGCATCCTGGGAACACCGAACGAAAGGATAGGAAAGGAGGGGAGAGCAGAAGAAAGCAGAGAGAGCGCCGCGCGGTATTAAGGCTCCGCACGCCCAAGAGAGAAGGTCAGCAAAGGAAAGGGGGGAAAGGAAAAAAGAAAAAAGACAAGAAAGGAAAAGGGTGCCCCAAGCTATGACAACATGCATCTAGGGGCGTACCCATACTGCAAGGCCGTCAAAAAGAGAAAGGAAAGGAACAGTGCCCCCAGCCATGACCCAAGCATCCAAGGACGCACCAAGAGAAAGGAAAGGAGAGAAAGTCGGAAAAGAGAAGAACGAAAGAGAGTGAAGACGGACATGAGGGCCCGGCCGAGATCACGTGATCTCGAACTCAAGCTATTGTCCGCTATGGACACCTACTGGCATAGAAGCCTGCTCCGGTCAATACCCTATCTTCTGGTGTTAGAACAGCTGTGCCATCTCTTCCATGGCAGCTGTGGCCCGCTCTCCCCCGACCATGGTGCAAGCGTCACCCCAGCTCAGCTGGCCCACGGAGGGCACTGCTTCGGGCTCACTCCGCCCTCTCAAAAGTTGAGACACACACTCGGGAAAAAGTACGTACGGTCAGAAAGCCACTTGCTCCAACGCCTGGGTAAAAACGAGGGGTCACCAGCCGCGTCTTAAGTGCGCCCAGGTGCACCACAAATTGCAGGTACGTTTACGGCTCTCACCATTGCCCTCTTCGTCGGCCATCCACAAATGGTGAAAGGCATGGCCCCCCTGCTTTAGATCCAAATACCGAAAACAAATCAAAAAGCCGACAGGCTCCCTCTAAGGGTTACGCACACAGAGATATATGTATGTATGTATGTATGTATATATTATAAATATGATCAGAAACAATGGTCACACACAAAAACAAAACGTTTTGCATGCCCTGCCTTGAGAGAGCCCTCTGCACGGAGCTCTTCTGCGCGAGCATCTCCCTGGCATTACAGTGACAATAGTCGAGTCAATAGTCACCATATATATATATATATATTTTATATTATATATTATATATATTATATATAATATATATAATATACATATATTCGACATGCCGGGGCTTTTTTGCCTGCTTCATCATTCTGAGTACATCATGTATGTCATTTTTTGTGCGAAATCACAAATCTGCAGAACTCTTGAGGTTCGCATTGTGTGAAGTTCTTGCTGCAAACGTCTTGCCTCCGCTCGAATTCTGGCTGCTTCGGCCTCCGCCTTTGCCTCTACACAGATGCAGCAGCAAAACACCAGTGTGCCTTGCGACTGCATGTATGCTGAAGGCATGTAAACTTCAGAGCATCTAGATTCTAGATGCTGCAAAAAGCGGTGTCCTTGAGCAGAAGGGCTTGAGCATCACCTGACAAACAAAAACTGTGAAATCGCCAGCATGAGAGAAAGACAAGAAACTGTCACCCTTCAGATTGCCTCTAGCTGCCGTCTCCGTCTGTTCCGCAGCAACAGACGCCACAGCCTGGCAGGACATTGCAAGGCAGTCTCTCTTGCTCTTCATTGCATGTGACCTGTGGTTTAAATTGCATGCTGGGGTGAATTCCTTGCTTCCTCACGGTATCGCTCTTTGATATCGTCCCAAGATATCATTTGATGTCTCCCATCATTCTTCAAAAAAGAGCTGGCTGAGCATCTCATATCAGGAAAACATGCTTGGATAAAGTCATCAAACACGTGGATATTGAACTTGCCTCTTGTCTGGTCCTTTTTGTTCCTCTTGTTGCACCAAACTATATGTATATATATATTAAGTCTTTTCACACCCGTGGTACGTGTGCACCATCCCGACAATTTGTGCATATATGTGAAATAGCTGATGTTTTGTCTGTCTCTGTTGCTATAAATACTACCCACCTACTTGTCCTAGCTGTTCAACAGTCAATTTACACTGCGACGTAGATGTCCGTGCTATGCGCAGATGATTTTTCTGAATAGCTTATCTGCAACTGATGCTGTCCAACAAACTGAGCTTTCGCCAGATCCAGCTATGCAGTTCTCCATGGCTTGATATTGGCTTTGCTAGGGCAGCAAATTCTGCTCAGTAAACTCTTGGCCACGACACAGCATCCACTAAAAGAATGCAGAATTCGATTATTCAGAGCGGAAAGTCCTCAAATCAATCTTAAGTAGGCGGCAAGGCCCCTTGGCTTAGGGCATCAAGAAGACCACGATCAGATGGAGACGCAGATATCAGATTGATTGACCTTAGAAAGCATCTGCACGGCACAAGTGGCCAGGACTTTGGAGACATTCATCTGGTAATGTGTTCTTTTTCAATAGAAAAATGACGTAAGGTCACTATCCAAAGTCACTTGTATTTTGTGTAGTGTAGGATACACAAACTCAAGATATTGGTGTTGGCGTAGCCGCATGCAAACCATCAAATAAAATATTGGATCCCTATCTCAAATTATCAGGCACAATTGCAGCAAACGCTAGAGCTGATCTTCAGGCCACTGCAGGATTTTGACCCCATACTGATGGCCTCAAGAGCATGCTGAGGTGTCCTGCACTTTGTAGGTATATCGTGCCACTAGCATTCTTGCAGTCTGGGAGAGCAACGTCGAAAATCCTCCAATGTATCTTGGAGTCGAACAAATGGAGTTTGCATGTTCCGCGGACTTTTCCAGCCGATCTGGATCGAAAAGCGCCCTGCCATTTCCCACAACAGCGTTCAAGCAAGCACTTAAGCAAATGAAAGAATAAAGATCTGCTTTGAGCACCCATATGAAACCAATCACTTGTTAAACGTCTTCAATTGTGACCTCTATACATACTGTATATATATATATATACTAGCTACCTCTTCCTTGGTGTGGTGTGCTTGCAGAACGCATCTCGAGCCTGCGTCCCTCATTGTCCACCTCAACTCCAGCCTGGTGGAGATAACACCAATGTCAGACAAAGTTTGTACAAAAATGGCAACTACAAAGAAGCAGCTGGACGGCACAACTACATGAAATGGTACTTTAGAGTCAAAACCTAGAAGGCAAATGTTTGGCAAATGTTTGACCCAATCATTTTTCCATGTCCCGCTCCAAGTCAAGAAACCTCGCGCTTCTTGTCCGTCTCACTTCGGGCCACCATGGCCTGGCAGAGGTGGGCACAGAGTTCACCACCAAAAGGTGTTGTTCCTAAAAGCACTAAAAGCACTAGTAACAAGGGCATCGCTACTAGGAGCAAGGAAGCTACTAGGGGTTCCTGGCCTTACTACTAGGAACAAGAAGCTACTAGGGGCTCCATCCCCGGTGAACCAGGGTAAGGAGGGTTTACCAGGCATTCTATAGGAAAATACCCTCTATAGACTGGATTGTCCAGCCTTACATCCCTATAAAATGCAAAACCACTTCCACTATACAATGCTCGGTCCAGTCTCAAGGTTTGTTTTTTTGTTCCCAAAAAACTGCTTATATCTGCTTATTAAATGGTCAGATTGAGGTCAAGTATGAATATACTAGTGAAGACACATCCACTTCATCAACATGTTTTTCCCACCCTAGATGAATGTCTCTATGAAATGGTTATCCACATGTTTCATCTTCAACCATCATCCATTGATATTTCATTGAATTTCTGAACACACCCTTCTATATGTTGCCATGTTCAGGTTTATGTTACTTCTAATCCGGGGACCCTCTGTATAAAATGGGTCCTGGAAAGCCATTTTATAGATGTCAACCCTCACCATTTTATAGACCATCATTCACCGGGGATGGGGCTCCTGGCATCGCTACTAAAAGCACTAAAAGCCAAAGCACTGCTGCAAAGCACCAAAGCAGTCATTCTCAGACTGCCTCATGCCCATGCGCAGAGTAGCTGACGGAACCAATGAAGGAGGCCAATGAAGCAGTTACCTCAAGGACAGTCAGGCAAACCCGAATTGAAGCATACAAAACCTGGAAAGTCTTGAAGCTGAAAGTAGGCCAGGTAATATAGAAAGTTCAAGGGCAAGGCCTTGCTACATGAGGTACTTGTACCAACAATAGATACACTCAAAAAGTAAATGTGAGTCGGGTTTGATCCGGCCTGCCGCAGCACATCTTGCCGCAGCTTGCTGATATCGAACCTTGCAAGCTCTAAAGGCAAAGCAAAAGTGTGCATGTGTGCAAAACCGATGTTAGACTATATATGTGGTTGCACTTGTTTGGCGTGACAGTGTGAGCGCTGCGAGCACACTTTCCAAATGCACCCAAGTTGCTCTCCTTGATTTGCTGCCTGATTGCGCTGATTGTCCGCCTCAGCAAACAGCAAGGATTCATTCTGGCCTTTCCACAAGAACATCACACACCATCACACTATAAACTGTGATTCCATCTCCATCTCTATGCGCTTCTGGGTCATGGGCCATGGTGTTGGCTGCCATGCGCGCTGCCAGCTTTGCATCCTGCACAGAACAAATCAAAAATGAAAAGCGATATGCACAGCGAATCGGGCTCGTTTTCTCGATGCGAAGCGGCTATGGTATCGGTGCATGCCCTCCTGGAACTGTCGTCTCTGTCGATGGTTCCACATCTACACATGGAGGGTCATCCTATGTTCATCATGTACATACTCAAGGTTCATCTCTGCCATCAATGCTTCAACTTGTGCTTTGTCCAGGTGCTTTGTACCAAGATCTGCAACATTCTTTCGTGTTCCAACCTTGCTCAACTCCAACTCATGGTTCTGCGCCCGCTGTTGCAACCACAAAAACGACCGATCTATGTGCTTTGCCCGGCCGTGTCCCTTTCTGCTCAACATGGCCTTCGCAGCCGTGGCATCAAAGCACAATCGACCCTTCTTGGGCTCACCACAGAGCCATTGACATCGCCCCCAACAATGTTGAACCTGCTTTCACTCCTGCATAAAACTCTGACTCACCACTGCTCAATGAAATGACGTGTTGTGTGCTACTGTAAAACTTGAGAAGATGCGAACCATGCAACAATGCTCCACAAGATGTTGACTTCCTGGTCTTTGTACAACCGGCGTCATCACTGTCAGTGTACATAGTGAAGTGTTCTTGCGATAACTGTTCTGGTTATTTCCAAATCAATCTTGGAGCGCCATGCAAGTATCTCACCAACCGTTTCAAGCCATTCCAATCCGACCGACAAGGTTTTGCCATGGCCCTTGCAAGCTCCTTGCGCGCAAAAGCAATATCCGGCCTGTCCAGTGCAAGATAGCAACCCCTCATAGTCAAGCTTCTGAACCTGCTGCTTTCCTCTGGTGTCAGCATTTCTCCTTTCTGTTCAGTTCTCTTCACGCCTGCTGTAGGGGCACTCTTCGAATCAGTCAAGTTCAATTCCTTGACCAAAATTTGCACATGTCTAGGATCGGCCTCAATCGTTGTCTCATGCGGGCCATAGTGTACAAGTCGGCTCAAGATCATCGCATCCTGCACGTCCCCGTCATCAGGTCCCAACATACCACCATCTTTGATCTCATATCTTGTCAACAATTGCTTCTAACCAAAGAAGATCATCCTTGCGACCCAATGAAGTAACGTCGTCCCCATGAACTGAAATCTTGATGTCGCGAACACTGTGAAAATACAACACTGGACTCCCCAACCCTGGGGTAAAGCCTTGACTTGTGAAGAAGTCTGTGATTTCAATCTCCCACTGTCGAGCTGCGTCTCTGCACCCATACATGGCCTTGTTCAAACGACCACAGTAGCCTTCTTCTGCAGCTTCGGGTGGAAGTCGGACATAGACTGTTCTCTCAATCTTGGCAGTCCAATGTGCTCTTCTAATGTCTGTAAACATCACTTTGTAACCTTGCTTGCCTGAACGTTGAAGTGACAACAAAACTCTGATCGATTCCAAGGGTGGTGTAGCTGCAAAAATTGCTTCAACGCCACTGTGTCTCACCTCTTGAATGACCAACCTGCTTCGATAGTTTGGATGTTCAGCGTCGCCTTTGTTTATATCAATCCAACGGGATCCGATGGGTCCAGCCCCAGTCACATCCCATGCCTCTTGTGTTGGTACCAATCTCCAGACATTGTAGCGAGTGGCATAGTCTATCTCTTCCGCACGAGCTGCCCTCACCTTGCTCGTTTCAAGTGCTTTGCCCGAAACTTCATCAATGAATGTTGTCCAGTCCTCTTGGTCCAACACTGTCTGGTCAAAATATGGTTCTTCGTTCACGGGTCCAAACACTAAGGAACTGAGCGGTGACTTCTTCTGCATCTGTCGCTTCAATCCTTTCAAGATACGTTGCAAGAGGCCATCTGGATAGATCTCTGCCTGCTTTGCTTTGCCACCAATGAGTTGCACACGCCGATGCCACTGACTGTTGTCATCCTTGTAGTAGAAAGTTGTAGCAATGTCATGTGGCTGTCCATGCAACTGCCAACGAGTGGCTTGCTGAAAATCCTGAAGGTCTTGAAGCACTTCATTTGTGTTGAGATCCATTGTCACTCTTCTCACAACTTGTTTCCACGCAGGTCCACCTTTCTTCAATGATTGCAACTTGTTTGCATTGAAACCAACTCGCTTCCAAACCTTGAGTTCATTGTTCACATTCTTGCAAAGAACATTCAACTGCTCTGCAATACATTCTGAATTCGTCATGAAGCCGGATGGTTTCTTCACAGCCCCAGTCCCATGCTCATCCTCTGCCTGCATACCAAACTGACACATGTCCCCACGAACCTTGTAAACTGTGTCAAGCTCTTCAAGCAGCCGGTGCATCGGATCTTCATTCCAAGAGGTTGCAAGAAAAGGATGTTCACGCAAGAAATATTTCTTCCTGCTCATCTGCTTCCGGTAGAGCTCACAGCAAAATGCTAGATGCTCCTTTGCCTCCGCCAGCTTCTGCACGTTGCCCCATGTATCTGCAAATCTCTGATTCAAGCCCTGCAAAATACTGAATGGTCCACACGGCGGACAACCCACTAGAAGTTCTGGCTGTAACTCATCAACTAACAAATGGGCGGCTTCTCGTCTGCTTGCTTGTGTGAAGCTCCAAGGATTGCCCTCATGGTCACAAGTCCTCAAGTCCAACGCTACACCTGCAATCAACCCTTTGTTGCGCCCAAATGCTGTCAAGCGTGGTGGAGAAAATACCTCAACGACAACTGGTTTCCGACCTGTTTGATCAATGCCGTAGGCCTCATACAAGCTCAAGCTCCCCAATTGTAACTTGATTTGTTGTTGCTCAATGAAATCATCACTCAACAGAACATCTGTTGCGTTTCCAACCAAGATGACTCTCTCAAACAAGGATGGCACGAACCGTGTTTGCTCAATGAAAACAATTGAAGTGAACTAATGTCCATCACCTGAGCTTGCTCCTCCACGCCATGCTCTTCTCCCATGCCTTCATCTTCAAGTAAGCCAACTGCTGTTCCAGGCGGCTCCTCGATGAACTCTATGTCAGGAATGCCCTCCTGACCTGACACTTCCTCCACCAGTGCACCGTCAGCCCCTTTTGGAACTTTTGCCTCTGGTGGTTCATCCATAGACAGTTTCCTCTTTCGAGCTTCTGCCTCATTTTGTTGCTCCTTGAACTTGACCATGAAACGCTCTGCACGACGCTCCATGCGCTCCACTTTGTCACGACCCTCCTCAGTCTGCAACATGGCTTCCCTGATCCTTTGTTTGCAAGCTGAAGAATGTTGTTTGTGACTCAATCCAAGTTTAGCTGCTTCACAACCATCACAACCTGGAGTGTATCCATACTCTTCAAGTTCAATGTCCCGAAGGATGTAAATGCCTCGGGGCTCGTAACTCTTCTTTCTTTTCACCTCTTTCTCCTGCGTCGCCTCCGCAGCCTCTAAGTCCAATGCCGGCAACTCAACCTCAATCTCTTTTGCCAAACTCTCTTCTCCCATGTTCTTCTTCGGACGTAGCTGCCACGGAAGCCCGATCATATGTTGGAGTAGGGAACCATCCCATCGGTCACCCCCAAACTTGCACTTGATCGCCCAAATCGATGAACTCCTGTACCTGTACCAACCCACTTCATGGCTGATCCTTCCTGAATGCCCAAGAAGGTGCCTTCATCAAACTTAGGATCAAGTTTACTTCCAGATCTTTCACCCTTCAATGGTTGGTACCACACGCACTCGCCAAACTCCGGCGTCCTGATTCTCCACGGCTTTCCAGTCGAACGTTCAAACGGAGTCACCCCATCTGCACCTCGATTGCGTCTGCTGAGCAAGGCTGCTGCGTAATCAACCAACCAACCAAGTCAACACTGAATGCCGTGGGTGTATTGGTCCATAATGTCGCTCAAGTGCACTCTTCATTGTTCGAGCCTGGGCCTCAATCTTTCCAATGTAACTCTCAATGAGTCCATTGCTCTGCGACTCACCTTTGGTAGCATCCTCACACGACAAAGAAGGAAACAAACGCTGCAATTCGTTTCTCAAAGCAACCAACGACCTCTCATTGTCGCTCTTCAGAACTCCTCCAAGGCATCCCGAAACTTTCAAGAGCTTTGAGACTGCTGCAGCATTATATTGATGCTGTACACCCTTCTCTGGCATGCAAACGGCATATGTTCTGCCGGTCTGTTCTTCCACCATGGACAAATGGGCAAACTCTGTTCCTTTTCAAAATCTAAGGCTATCAAAGGTCTCCGTTGCTCTTTGGCATCCTGGCCCAGTCTCTGCTTGCGATGCGCCCCAGCCAAACCCTTGCCTCTGATGCAATCTGCACACCAGCTCCTGTATGGAATGTGGCTGATCATATGTTCACGCTTCTCCTCCTCCGTAGGTCCAATGGGAACGCGGAGCGCCAATCTCTTTGAAGTAGCCTCCTGGACCTCATCTTCTAAATCTCTTGCATGAGATGCCACAACGTCCAAGTCTCCTTCACTCGGCTCATACTGCTCATAGTGTTCCGGAAGTGGCAACTCGGGAACTCTAGTGTGGCCTTGATATAGGTCACTGCGATCGCGCACACCATCATCGAATTCAAGATGGGAACCTGAATCTCTCAACTCTTGCGGCTCCTCATCCAACGCATGCAACTCATAGCGGGCCTTACGCCTGCGGATCCGCCGGGGCACTGCTCCCCGTCGGCTGCCTGCAGAAACCCGTTGTCTCGGCATACGGGATCACATGGAGGTACAAATTGAAAACTGCATCCTCCTGGTACCTGGTACAAATTGAATGTATCACCCGTTTCTTTGTCCTCAATGTAACTGCGCTCACCCTCCGACTCCAAGACAATCCGATGCCCTTGGTTGCAAATCTGAGCTGCTGATGTCAGTTAACACCTTGCCAACTGCTGCCACCTGAAATACCATCTCTCTCAAGTGACCTTCTGCACTCATCACAATTGGCCTGACCTCACCATTATGCTCAACCGTCTCTTCATTTGCCGCAACCAAAACTAGCTCTTCTTCACTCTCCCTGGCCAGCACCGGGTAATCTGGAAACGTTCCCGGAGGGCAAACTGCCATTGCTGCTCCACTGTCAACATTCGAAAGCACTGCGTTCTGCTCTGTCCCTTGCCCATCTGCACTCGACCCCGCTCCTGAGCCTCTTGCCCTTTTCGCACGCCGACTGCTCAATGCTGACAACCTCTTGATGGTGATGCCACCGACCAACTGCTGGGCTTGCGACGCTGATGGACCCAACACTGAACTGGCCGACGACAATGCTCCAACAACACTGGACTGTGGTGAACGCTGCACGGCCTGTCCTGCATTTGAACCACTGTTGATCTTCTGGAAATCCTCAACTGCCCTTCTTGCATACTCTGACTGCAGCTGTGACAACCTGGGATCAACAGAATTCAACGGTTTCACCTTCTTGTTCCAACAGTATTCAGCCGTATGGCCCACTTTGCCACAATTCGAACAAGCTGGCTTGTTCTTGCCTTTGCCGCCCTCTTTTGAATGATGCTTTTCCTTTTCCTTTGGAATCTTTTCTTCCTTTACCTTTTCCTTTGTCTTTGCTCTTGCCCTTCCCAGCTCCTTGACCACCTTCCGCTCGTTTGGGGCAATCTTTGGCTAGATGCGGTCCTCCACACTCAAAACAACCTCCTCCTTTGCCTGAGCCTTTCGACTGCAACGAACCAATGTCCATGCTGGTGGCGGTCAACGACTGAGTGTGCTCAATGTAAGTGAAAATCTCCTCCCGCAGCTCCATGTAGGTTGTATACCTCTGTGCATTCAACTGAAGATGTTCCCTCAGTCGATTGGGACACATGGAAACTACTGCGGCCATCTTGATCGCCTCACTGATCTTCTCTGCGTGCGGCCTTGCTTCAAACTCGGTAATCTTTGTCTCCCACGACACAATCTCTCCTGCCAACTGTGCCAAAGGAACATTTGCTGGTGGGTTTGCAATCGTAGTCAACCCTGCTCTCTGCCGACCAATGGTGACTGGATTGAAGCGCCTTTGTAACAACTTCCAAGCCTCATACCCATTTGGCCGTCTTGCCTGCCTGACAATGTTGCGAGCCTCACCAACTGTAAACGTGATCAACACCGCACACAAAGTGGAATTTAAATACTCCAATGTTGCCCTGTCAATGTTGGGAAAATGCAATGACAAATCATCAATCGAAACTTGTGCTGCTGGTTGTGTGTCCTTGATGTGTTCAAGCAACTCCCAAGTCCCTGGAATCTGAGCATCAACGCAGGTGATCACATGGTCACTCCAATCGTTGAATGCTGCATACCCAGGACTCTTGACAGGATCATAGGTGCTTGGCTTCGAGAGCACCTTAGCATCAACTCCACTGCTGGATGGCATAGGCAATTGCCGGATTCACACCTGGCCCCAATCCTCCGAGCCCGGCTACCCCTGCAGGTCCGCCAAGGATGAAAGTCGGCGGTGGAATGAACTGTGCATTCGGCGCAGCCGCCGCTGGCATAGGAGGTGTTCCAAGCGGCGACCCTTGAGCTTGATGTTGAGGCGAACCTTGAACTCCGGGCGCAATCTGAGGGCTTTGTGGTGGAGATCCGGGAACCGGCACCTGCGCCGCTGTCTGTTGTTGCATCTGCTGGTGCATACCTTGTAACGCTTGCGACAAATTCAACACTTCCTGATGACTCTGTTGAATGGCAGCCTCGATCTGCTGTTGCATCAACACCTGGCCCTGCTGCATCTGCTGAATCTGTCCTTGAGCATCTTGTTGATTCTGTTGCATGGCGGCCTGAACCTGTTGTACAACTTCCTGAACAACACTTTCAGCTGTGTCACGCCAACACCTTGAGCTGTGGTCCCAACTGCTTGTTGCAATGTGTCCAACCTAGCACGCTGCTGCTGTTCAGTCGCCATCGCCTGCAACATATTCACAATCTGACCCAACTCGTTGGCTCCCGCTCCACCGTTGGCAGCACCATCCGCCATCAAGACACTGAAAACAACCGGGGTGAATAAAAGTCCAACCAATGTCAAAAATGCAATGATCAGCCTCCAACCCAACAGTGTCCAGCTCACACGGAATCCGGTTCCGCCTTCCCGGCGCGTGCTGGCGATGCCTCGCAAGAGAATCTCACCTGTCTCAGCTGAACGTGTCACAAGATTCGATTTCGGTGAGAGACCCCTGCGACGCATCAACCAGCCAAGTGACTCGTCTGCTGTTGTTCAAGCGGCCAGCTCCGCTACCATGAAAAGCGATATGCACAGCGAATCGGGCGCGTTTTCTCGATGCGAAGCGGCTATGGTATCGGTGCAAAAAGCATTGGCCCGCCCTTTGGAGGAATACTATGTACAGTAAAATAAGAGTTCCACAAAATAAGATGAAATAAGCATCCCCAGAGAACTTGGTAATTATGCTAGATATGAGCAATTGCATAAGTCGGACCCTGTCCACAGGAACAAGCGAAAAATGAGAAGTGGCATTGAGAATATCATCTGTGGAGGTACCAGGGTTGTTGCATTTCCCAAAACCAGTAGCTTGCCGTTGCAGGGTGTGGGCGTTGACTAAAAGCGACTGGGCATACCAAGCATTTCACTCCCGTTGCTTTTCAAAAGGAAAAAGGGAAGTTGCGTGGTGTCGTGGTGCGATGAAAGCAACGTGGTGCCATGCTGTGAGCAAAGCCAGAAAGCCGGCGTAAAGAATTTAGAAGTGTGACAGTGGCGGGGAGCTGTGCTTGACGTCTGGCAACGTGGAAAAGATCAAAAGAGGAAGCGACATGCCTAGCTGCTGCAAAGCAAGACTTGGGGCCTTTGGGAAGATCCTTGGCCTTCGAAGGCCGTTTCGGCCAGGCACGACTTTTTGACGCAAGGCGCAATATTTTTTCCACAAGAACAACCCTGCTGTTCCCAGCCACTTCCATCCTCATGCCACACCATGTCATGTCTCATGCGCATTGGTGGTTTCGCTAAAATATCACAACACGACAACTGCACGCGTTGCTCTAAGTTGGGGCCGATCAGTGATAGGTGTGACATTATATCAAATTATATGCACATGCATACAAAAGCCCCAGACGATCATATTGACTGTTTGAGCAGTTGCACGTTAACTTCACTCCTGCCTCAATCAGCCAGTTGACAGTGGCTGTAGCTTCCAGTGGGACATTGTCCCCCGTGGTCACCTGAGGTATCCCGACAGGACACGCAAATGCAAAAACTTAGATAGATACAAAAGCCCCCAACGAACGGCTCAAGCCTGAGAAAACCTTTACAAACCACACTTTAACTGTACCTCCACGTCAGGAAGCGGGAGAGTATCAAAGGTTCAACTCTCACGGTCTGCTTACAGTACGGGTTAACGGAGTTAGCCTAGTTAACTCGCATCAATGGGTATCATAGTTTAGCCATCTTTAGCCGGTCAATTAAAGTGCAATCTGAATGTTGACTGACCACTTGAAGATATTTTCGAGCATAGCAAGGTGCTCTGATGCTATGTAGCCTTGTCTTGATCTGAGTTTGTATTCCAATGCAAGTTTCATGACAAAATGTTCTTGCGACCCGACTAGAAACAGCCATGCTGGCAACACGAAGCGTGCGAAACCACATGTACTTGCATGTCGCGTGAGACCTGGTATATCTTGTCGTGTATAGATTAGTTTATCGATGTTTTTTGTAGTTTAACCCCGTCTCAGAGTCTCCCTGCCTTCATAGGCCCAACGTCGTTTGTTTGAAGCTTCTTCGTCATGAACTTCTCAAACTCAGTAGGGTGGGCATTGATTGAAGAACAAGTGAGTGTGGACAGGGCGCGCCTTCCAATTCCTGTGGGTCAGCATGTAGGCACGGCCTGGATGGTTCGTGTGAAGTCTTCATTGCAAGATTTTGCAAGCATGGCCTCCGACCTAAGAGCGATGGCCTCCAACCTAATAGCAATGGCCTCCAACGTAAGAGCGATGGCCTCCAACCTAAGAGCGATGGCCTC